TCTTTGTTTGAGGTTGCCTTTGCATTAGGATTTAATAAAGAATAGGTTTTTCACTGGAAGACATAAGGGGAGAACATTCCAAGTGGAAAGGCAAGCAGGAGTGAAGGACAAAGCTGGGAAAGGAGCAGGATTGTCCAAGGACTAGCAGAAGTAGAGTATGGCAGAAGAAGGTGGGACATGGTGGGAGATTAACTGGAAAGGTGGGCTAAGCCGGGTCCTGGACTGTCTTTTCTTGAACTGTCATATGTCTGAAGAGTTTGCATGTTATTCTGCAGGCAGTGGAGAGCAAGCTGGGATTTGTGGGCTGGAGCTGGACCTGATCAGTGTCCTGGTTAAGGAAGACAGCTCTGATGGCATTTTGAAGGACCAATATTTGGGGGATAAAGAGAAAGGTTAAAGTTAGGCAAATTAGGGCGATTAGAGTGTGGTAACTGAGGGGAGGGAAAATGAGCACCTGAAGGTAAGAAGGAAGACAGCGGCAATGAAAATAAACAAAAGGATCAGTAAGATCTTGTCCAATTGGGGTCACTGTTGCCTCACTGTTCGTGGAATTATGTGAAAGACAACTGACCCACTTTAACCCCAAGATTCTATGAGTTAGGCTTCTGTGACCACATAAGAGCTCCGTATTTCAGAAAGGAGCATTTCCCAGCAACTGTAAATACATATAAGAATGCTTCAGACATGTCTATACACATTTAACAGGTGAGACCATCTCTTTCACCCGTAGTTAATGTATCAGTGGAAAGGGAGATGATTAGCTCTATTTACTTGAGCACAAACGATTTTGATGCGTCTCCAGTACGGCAACATAGTAATGCTTATCAAGGTAGTCTCCCCAAACAATGATTATATATTCAAGGCCTACACTTGTGCTTTATGGGACAATGCGTTTTAGTTTCTGTTCGCTGAACTCAGAATAAGAATTTAATAGAAAATTGAAAAGTAAAACTATGCAAAAATTAGAGAAGGAAAGGAAACAAGATAATCAGATGACATAGTACAGAAGATACTGAATTGCTGGATTAAAATAGAAGATACTGACTTGCTGAATAAATTCTCATCGTTTCCCAAGTTCTAAGCATTTAGTGTAGGTA